AGAGACTGTGGAGACTGAAACGAGGGCCAAAGGCCTCACGTCCCTCCCTTACAGCCCCACACACTTTTAAAATCACTGCTCGTCAGCTCGTCTACGTCCCCTTCCCTAATGAAAACATACAGAACCAGGTCTGCTAGAGGACTGGACTGAATGAATGTATAAACCTGAATTGCTGACAACAAGAGGTCAATGCCCCCACCCCCTGGAGGAGCTACACACTGACAAAGCGTCTAGTTGGCACATGATAATACAGGTGTTTTTATTCATAGGAAAGTCATATTGTGTTAAAAACAGCAGCTGCTTAAAAAAAGCTTGAATGTGTCTGCTTGGATTTCACTGTTCTATGGCCCCTCCCTTGAAGGTGTAGTTACTCTTAAAGCTCACTTAGGACGAGGTCCTGAAGCTCGGCTGAACAGAAACATTTTCATTTACAGCAATGGAGAAAGTTTCATCAGTCTGCAAACATGAGGTCAAGCAGGGTCCTGCCTTACGTGCGACGTGTCTCTTCAGACCTACGTGACTCAAGAGGGCGCCATATTGTTCTTTCATTCACTACATTCATTTTGCACTCTGTCACCAGGAAGTCCTGCATCTCACCAACCCCCACAGAACATCTGCATGTACTGTTTGGCTACAGAGGAGAGATTCACATTCTTGCACATAATGTTCAGCAGATTTATTGCCTTCCTCCTTTAGATGAATAAACTTTGATGCTGGGTCGAGTCTGTCCACGTTCAGAGTTTTGTCTCCCCTGTTTGTTATCTGTGTGTCTGTCGGCGTGACTTTCCTTCCTCCACGTCTCCTGGCTGCTGGCTCCACACACCTGTTCACAATCCACCAATCGTCCTGCTCACCTCACTCACCTGCCTCTCATTAGTTTGCTCACCTGCAGTACATCAACTGCAGTTTTCCATCCACTCTTCACCAGATGTGTTTTCAGCCTTAGTGATTCTCTCAGTCAGCAGTTTGCTCTCTGGTGGATTTTGCTTGTTGTGCCTTGTCTGTGCTTTACCTGTCTGCTAACATCTGTCTCTGGTGCTGCAGGATCATCACATGCCCGTCTGCCTCCTGTATGCTTCCTGCCAGGCTCGCTTGCTCCTTGAGCCACATAGATCCATCACCTCCACTCTCTCTCCGCCTCCTCTGGATTCCCCTGCCGCCACATTCATTCTCCCATTATCACCTGGTTTGCAGCAAAGACTTACGGTACAACAAGTCCTGCGTTTGAGTCCAGCCTGTTAGCAAACACAACGTACCTGTGTAGCGGTGTAGATGGGCAGACGGTGAAGTTTGTGTTTCAGAGGACCCAGGAGCAGACACACACTCTGAAGTTTGTTGACAACAAGGTATTTTAATGAGCAACACAACGAGGCTGGAGAGGAAAGGGGAGCGTGGCTGACGATGGTGGGAGGCTGGCTCGCTGACTGAAGAGGAGTAGTGGTCTGAGGTGGTCTGAGGAGTCTGGGGTGCAGAATATGGAACAGGAGCCGAGGAGACAAAAAAGGCACGTGAGCGATACAGTGAGAGAGTAATGGAGAATACAAAAGACAAACTAGTTTTCTGGGCAGAGAGAGTAAACGAAACCATCAGGTGACGAATGGCAGGAGAACAGGAGCGTCTGAGTGGAGGAGGTGATTGGGATCAGCTGTGGAGCTTTTTAGAAAATTGTGATTCACAGATTTTGAAACACACAAGTGTAACAGAGAGAGGATTTTGCTGCCGTGCTGGTAAAGCAGTTCACGTTGGAAACCATGACATTATTTTAAGACAAGCAGAGTCCATCTTTCATTTCAAGCCTGCAGGAAGAGTTTGATACTCAAAGCAGCTCATCTAAACTTACAGCTGAGGTGACGACAGGCAGTCATCTCAGGACCACAGAACAGAATAATGCATATTTGTGCCTTTCTCACATCTTCAGAATGAGGAAGTGCAGATTAACAGGAACTTACTATATTTACTGTAGACTGTTTAGCTGCAGAGGACAACACATCAGACTTTGCAGTAGCAAAAACTCTTGCAGCTTTCAAAGGTAAAGTTGGGACATTGCTTTATTCCTATATGTAGAGTTAGAACTTTAAACAGTCATGAAGATGGATGTGCAGGAATATAAAACTGAAAGACAGCAGTTTGTGATTTGATATGATTGTGGGTAAACTATAGGGACACTGTGTTTGTGTGAACTTCACCTCACAGCTTTAGTGATGTCACTGAACAATGTTAGGTAGATATTAAAAACCTGCTCCCTTTAATAACCTGATCTCAATCAGTCAGGAAGATGAGAATGTCCTGAAACGTGTTCATTTACTACAGTCTGATGAACAGCGGATCAACCATCGAGTGTACTAAAAAGGAAAACATACAGTTCAAAGTGTGAAAGCTCTGAGATGAAAGCCTCAAAGTGCTGCAGAGTTTACTAATCTGTCAGTTAACAGATGGTGTCAGTGATCCCCTGCAGCAGCTTCCTGTTTTACTGTCTGCTTCTCAGACTTTTTACAGACAAAACCAAGTTTCCTCATTCATAAGTCACTTTAGACAAAAGCGTCAATGAATAAATGTGAATGTGACTAAAGTATAAGAGATATTCATACAAGTCTTCTCTACTCCTCGGGCCAACTGGACAAAATGTTATACAGTGTGAAATTACTGAAATTGATTTATAAGACAAGACATTCCTTAGCCTGTTAACCTATACATCAAATCAAAGCATGAAAGCTGCCTACCCTTCAAGCTGATAGAAATCTAGAAATCAACTCTAAGTTGTTGTTTGTGACTGTTACTTGCTGAACTTAAGCTACGTTTCCTTTAGGTAAAGGAAAGGTCATATTAGTTGGCTATGGAAAACATTAGTGTTGGTAGTGTGAACACCATTAATATTACCTAGATCACCCTTTCAAAACAGCAAAAGTCCCCACAGAATGTTGTTGTCCGTGAAACTAACTGTCACACGGTCCCTGTTAATGCTGTTGTACCGGAAAATCCTTCAATTCATTGACCAGACGGATATACTGGCAGAGCAGCTGATTCTGAGGTCAGTACTAGTCTACAGGTTTGTAGTTTTTCTACAGGTCTGTACTGGTCTACAGGTCAGTACTGGTCTACAGGTAAGTACTGGTCTACAGGTCTCCAGTGTGGTCTACGGGTCAGTAGTGGTCTACAGGTCTGTAGTGTGCTACAGGTCTGCAGTGTGGTCTACAGGTCAGTAGTGGTCTACAGGTCAGTAGTGGTCTACAGGTCTGTAGTGTGCTACAGGTCTGCAGTGTGGTCTACAGGTCAATAGTGGTCTACAGGTCTGTAGTGTGCTACAGGTCTGCAGTGTGGTCTACAGGTCAGTAGTGGTCTACAGGTCAGTAGTGGTCTACAGATCTATAGTGGTCTACAGGTCTGCAGTGTAGTCTACAGGTCTGTACTGATCTACACGTCAGTAGTTTTCAACAGGTCTGCAGTGTAGTCTACAGGTCTGTAGTGTGCTACAGGTCTGCAGTGTGGTCTACAGGTCAATAGTGGTCTACAGGTCAGTACTGGTCTACAGGTCTCCAGTGTGGTCTACGGGTCAGTAGTGGTCTACAGGTCTGTAGTGTGCTACAGGTCTGCAGTGTGGTCTACAGGTCAGTAGTGGACTAAAGGTCAGTAGTGTTCTACACGTCAGTAGTTTTCAACAGGTCTGCAGTGTAGTCTACAGGTCTGTACTGATCTACAGGTCAGTAGTTTTCAACAGGTCTGCAGTGTAGTCTACAGGTCAGTAGTGGACTAAAGGTCAGTAGTGGTCTACAAGTCTTTAGTGGTCTACAGGTCTGTAGTAGTATAAAAGTCAGTAGTGGTCTACAGGTCTGGTGTGGTCTGCAGGTCTGTACTGACCTACAGGTCAGTAGTCGTCTACAGGTCTGTGGTTTTTCTACAGGTCTTTTTAGTGGTCTACAGGTCTGTAGTTTTCTACAGCGAATCCCCCTAAAACAACATACAGTCCCAGCTCTCTGCAACACTGACAGGAAATCTGCTTGTTCTTGTTGGATCTCAGCTAATAATGAGCTAAAGGTTAAAAAGGGGAAACATACAGCAGACTTTACTAACTTCTACTGAAACATGTTGGTCTGATCTGTTGTGACTGTCCCTGTCACACTTTATCATTTCTGCCCCAAATTATTATCTAAAAAAGTCTGAAAACTTTAAGAGTTGTGAGGAAACCTCATTTGGTCAGAAAGTGCAGGATGCCTCCCTGCTAACAGCAGGTTGGGCTTTATGTTCATATAGACAACAGAGATTTGTCAACCAGCAGAGATTTTGTTGAACCTTCATTTGTCAGCTTTTAATTCACTGAGTTGCTCAAAGACAAACATTCACAGTTTGGTCTACAAACTGATTTTTATTGGATTTCCAGAAAATGTACAATTTCATATAAACTGACATAAACTGTGGTTTAAGATTTTATCCATATTGCCAAAAACACAACAGCTGCTGCAAAACAGCTGCTCTGAATCCCATCCTAAACAGCAGCATGCCTACCACTAAAACAGCAGAAATTACACTTAGATTAAATAAAGAGAAATAAACAACATGTTATTTATTCTTAGTCAGCAAAGAACAAAACGCTAAGAGATAAATGAACACAGTTTTGGGAAAACATACATTAAAAAACAAGTAAATTAAAACGTGTATGAGAAAATGAGTATTTATGAGAAAGTAAAAAGTGATAAAGACGTGAATGAGCTCAGTTCATCTAAAACAATATCTGCTTTGCTTCTGGGATTAAAGGAGAATAATGACAGACATCAACTTCCAGCTCCAAACTAATAAAACACATTTTATTTCCATGTGTTGAAGCCATCACAGTGAACCAGAGCAAGTTGACCAAAACATTTCCCAGCAGCCACTTCTCCCACAGCAGAGTCCAAACAGTGCTTCCTGTTCTCTACAGTTAGGTGTCTTATTGGAAATGGTCTCAGTAGATGACAGGATCTGTCTCGTCTCTATCCTTTCTATTGGCCTCCATTTCTCCTCCTGTTTCCTCCCCTTTCTCTCTCTCCCTCTTTCTCTGCCTACATGAAGCTGACTGTGGAAATGTTGTCATCATTCATACTGATGGACTGCTGATATCATTGCTGTCCATTCTGCAGCAACACACAGAGGCAAAAAGCTTGTCTATGGTCCCTTTCCTCATGAACACATACAGGACTGAGTCTGCAAGAGGACTCAACCTAAGAAATGTTTGTGACACGATGGTGACGATGTAATAATTTGTTACTAAAAGCAACATGATGAAGGGCAGGAAAGGCAGAGTGTAAATAAGCAGCAACAGAACCAAAATTCCCACAGTTCGTCGTTTTTCATCAGAGGGGACTGAGGTGGAAGCAGACAGGGCTTTGAGGGTCCCAACCAGGAAGAAGATTAACAGTGGGAAGGGAAGGAGGAAGAGGACGGCGCAGATTATGGGTGTGACCACACCATCAACAAAGAAATAGAAACGGATGGCACAGACAGCAATAATGGCCCAGACCAGGACACAGATCACCACAGAGGACTTGATGGTTCGTCTGAAGCGGTACCACAGCGGGTGGGCGATGACCAAATACCTGTAATACAAGATGGACACAAAGTCTTTGAGGAGCTTCAGAGTTATAAACTAATATAATGTTCAGACACAGAAGGAGCTCCACACATACTGGATAGACAGATAGATACCTTTCCAGGGAGATGCAGACCATGAAGTAAACACGGGTAAACAGAGCAGAGAGGTAAATGTATAAGAAGATGTTATATATCTTCTCATCCACATTTGGTGCCACCTGAACGATCATGAAGCAGAGCTGAATCAGGTCAGTAATGAGGAGGTTGATGACGTAGATGGGAACAACATGATCACTTCTCACCTGCAGGAAAACATTGGTAAAAGTCAACAAGCAGTTGGAAACATGTTGTGAAGTCCACCTCCTCCCAAATCTGTCATCTTGCTCTGCCCAGCAGCTGCAGTCAGAGCCATTTCTGACTTTTTCATCCAACAGAAATCTCAGATGTGACACACTGGCCAATCACTGCAGTAACAAGACTAAGGGCCAGATTTCCTGCAGCTTCTGCAGCAGTTTTTCAGCCACAGATATGAAGCGTTCTGTCTCAAACACATGAGCTGTATTTATTCAGACAGGAGCCGCAGTTTGAGGCTCATGTTTGTGTTTGCAAGGTGAGATGCGTGGGGATGAAAAAAAATCATCTATTGAGCTCTGATACTACGTGGGTAAATAACGAGCGGAGCCCCCATTTTAATCCAGTGGTGCTGTAGAAACATGGACCATGACAAAAGTCTTTAAAAACAGGAGTGGAGGAAGGATCAATACGTTGTGTCACATTTTATACAGCGTTGCTCATTCATCATTTAGCAGACTGGAATTTCATTAATAAATGATAAAGTGCTGAAATTCTCCTGTAGCCTATTAGGCTACTTCCAGTTTTTAAATAGGCTGTGTTTGTTCAGCTGGAACCTGACGGGACAAAAGGCCGGTGCACCTGAAGATGAAAACATGGATCAAATATAAGACGCAGTTTTCTCGTGGACCTGTGATTGTAAAGTCACAGTCCGACCCAGCAGGTCAGCCTATTAATGATTTTCTTGCAGCTGAAAATGTGTGTAGGTTCAAACTGACTGTTTTTGACTTCTATTTTACTTTAATAAAATCTGGCTCATTTTGTATTTTATGAAATGCTGTCACACACATTCAGACTCTCAGCAGCTAATAATGAAAAACTCACTTATAAAGTACATGAATAGTTTCAGCTGCACCGCAGTCATCCTCACTCAGAAATAGTCACATTATCTCCAGCATGATAACTAGATAGGAATGCTCCGATCAGTGCGACTACAGTATGAAAGATTAGACCTCTTGTTCACTGATCAGTTTTAAACAGATTAGTTTAAACAGTGATCACTATGAAGCTCAAGTGTTTCAGAGCATCTGAACCTGACAGCTGCCTTGACGTCCACAGAGTCACTGTGTCATAAAGGACAGTGCAGCCTATAGATTCTATTCTGTGCTGATGTCCAAAGATAATCCTCTGTCCATACATCGATGACAGATTGATCATAAAAGTGGTCATGTCCAAGATCATGTTTGGGTAACAAACTAATAGCTTATCTAACTGGGATTTTGATGTTTCTAACGCCGTACTAGCGTTCTAGCATGTGCTTTGATATCGACAGTCTGAATGAGGAAATGTCAGACGGCGCTTCAGGCTCCGCAGGAGGAGTCAGAGAGAAACTCAGCGTTAGTTGAAGTCAACCTCCTTCTGAGGAGGTCAGGTTCGCAGCGTAAGTTTAGAGTTTATCTGATCTCGGTCTGTGAAACTGAAAACCCAGAGTTTCCCTCATCTCAGGCTGAACATACTCAGAGTTTTCACTAAACCCACTTTCTGAATCGGGGCCCTGTTTAAACCTGCTTTAAATCTGTAATCGACTAGTCTAACCTGTTTTCTGTCTTGTTTCCATCCTGTTTTTATGCTGTTTTGCTTCGTTATCTAGTTGTTTGTTATCTCTAGTTTCTCTATTGTGGTTTATATCTTGATCTTGGTGTCTTTGTTTTGTCATGTAAAGGGCATTTGAGTACCTTTTAAAGCGTTATAGAAATAAAATGTAGTATCATTATTATAATTAAATCATTGGACAAATGAACATTTATGACCTGATGATGGCGCTAAATGAAAAGTCGGGGGATCACGAGTGTTAGTACGATTCATCCTCCATGAATGTCTCAGAAGGATTTTTAAAAATCAAACAACAAAAGGCCGAAAATTTAACTTTACTGGCTTAACTAACATTACCTGCGCGGGAGCGAATGAGAGAGCGAGAGAGATTGTTGTTATTATTTATTCTCCTGCACAGTAGCAGACAATAAGATGATCCAGCTGTAGCTCTGTGTCTGTCCTCTCTGCTCCACCTGAAGCTGTGAGCTACACTTTATCAGAGGCCTGAAATTAACTTGTGTGGATTTGTAGTGAGGTTGATCACCTGATAGGCAGAGGAGGCATTAGACATATTTCATTTCAAAATCTATGTTTGGTCCCACCCCTTCCTGGCTCAGGCGATTTCGGAGCTGGCATATAGAGGAGGCGGTTTACAAAGAGACCAGTCAGTCACTCACAGTCCACATCAGTCTCGGGCAAAATGTATAGAAATGTTGAGGGAGAAATAAAAAGTTACTCGAGGCCGGTGCAGCTTCTTCTTTTGTGCTGCTGTTACTTCTGAAGGCAGCAGTGATGATGTCTGCAGCAGGGGTGGGTACATCTAATGTAGACCTACTCTTAACTTCGCTACATTCTCCATTCAGACCTTTTATAACTTCTCCAGTCCGTAATCTGCATTTTGCTTCTTTAACCAAAATGAGCTGTGATCCAGGCTGTGCGCGCAGTTCAGCAGTAAAGCGCTTGTCACAGTCACAGAGCAGATGCAAACATTTTGAAAATCAGGCAAACACCTTCTCAGTTTAAGGCTTTATTGTTCTACTAATACAAATGAAATCCAGTGAGCGCACACCACGGCACTGGTGACCTGTTGGAAAGAAGCCTGCGTCACTCTTTAACAAGCCGGCAAGTGAAAAACTTCTTAAAAGCGTCTTAAGTTTCCGCAGAGCAAATGAAGACTTCACACTGTAACATCTACGTCAGACGATCACTGCATTGACTGAGATATATTAAAAGTGTCCTGTTGTTGAACAGAGCATCGCTTTGGACATCAGCCTGTTTCTTTTCTTTATCTAGCTATTTGTTTTATAGCGATGTCCGACGGTGAGTCCATAAACCGAAGGTCGCCGGTGAAACTAATCTTTCACTCAGCAGCTAACAGCTGTTATTGTATTTTTGAGATGCATAGAGAGAGAGAGAGAGAGAATAATTCTTTGCGTTGTGAAGATTATTTAGAGGCTTCAGGAATAATCAGATTGCATTGGCAGCCTGTTGTGCTGCAAAGCAAGCGGTTTGGTCGGCTATCTCCACAATAAAAGGCACAGGCAACAAAAGTGATATTTTAAAATGATCTTATAAACACCTTCATGGAGATTTAAAAAGGAAAATAATTGTAGAAACAGCTAAATTACAGATAACATTTGCAGGAATATTTTAATGGGCTACTTAAAAAAATAAACTCATCAAGTTGCCTGTCTGATGCAATAGACAGTCCACTTTTACTCTGATAGCCTATCTTAACCTTTCCTCATGAGGACACACAGGGGCTGTGATCCTGCACAACAAAACATGCAAGAATTAAATCCCCACACCAACATGGATAGTAGTGGTGCAGAATCCGTGGTATGGATCCCTTTCACACGGTGCGGCACGCAGGTGGACCGCGGATTGATTGCAAAGTTTATGATGAGTTATCCTGTTTGACCTCTCAAAATATCCTTTATTGTGGAAATGTCAGAGAACCCAGTTAGATTCTGAATGTGCAGAACTTTGAACATGAGCAGAAAACCTGCTGAAACACAGGAGCTATTAAAGTCCAGGAGTTTATCACTGAATTAAAATGATTTAATTTATTATTGATGAGGTAAAAAGGTGCCACATGCATTTAAAGAGGTTACCCCAATCAGTCACGTCTGCGTGTTTGTTGATTCAGCAGTGATGATATTAAAAGTTGATCTACAGGAGAAACATATCTGAAAGCTGAGAGCTGCTCTGCATTATATTCTGTTACAGTTTTAGATTTTAAATTGTTTTATTAAACCTTTATTAAACCAGAAAAACTCTTTTTCCAAGAGTGTCCTGGCCAAGGCAGGAAGTAGTACAATTGCACATTTACGATGGAAATAAATAATCAGTTACAAGGTCATAAATTATCAAAATGTTCTTAAATACTCACCACAATTCAGCAACACCTGAATTTTGTGTGTCCCTTTACATAAATAATTTCCACAATAAATTGGTGCAGAAAAGACCAGAATGCAGGAAATTAAGTGTTTAACACCCAGACATACTGGGTGTTCATACTGTCGCAGCTTTGTTGTTATAATATTATAATTAGACACATGACATTACAATTTAGCAACATCAAAATGAGACAGTTATTAGTGTTGTTGTGAGTTTTGTTGTGCCAGAGGAGAGGAAGTAGAGGACGTTTACTGTCACTTTACTGCTTTACAGACTTAACTTTGGGAAGGGGGGTGGAGGTCAATTATTATGTGAAGATATGAAGTTTTATGGGCTGGGCTAAGCCCCCAGTGTTTAAAGATCCTAAAAACGCCCCTGCCCAGCCCCCTGACACCTAGCCCCCAAACCAGATCCAGATCCTTTACAGACAGACAGACTGTAGGACAGACACACGACACAGACAGGAAATAAATAACTCTCAGTCAGAATGTACATACCATAGAATAAAGAGCATAGATGGCCACCAGGGTCAGAGGAAGGCCGACAGCAACAATTATGCATGTCACCACTTTCATGATGAAATAAAGTTTGCTGTTATAGTCATCGAGCTCAGTGTTGTCGCTGTAATCATAGCTTTGGTCCTGTGAGGTGCTGTTAAAGTAGAGACCTTCCATTCTTCAGAGTGAAACCTGTTTGAGAGATCAGGTTATTAAAGGGAGCAGGTTTTTTAATATCTACCTAACATTGTTCAGTGACATCACTAAAGCTGTGAGGTGAAGTTCACACAAACACAGTGTCCCTATAGTTTACCCACAATCATATCAAATCACAAACTGCTGTCTTTCAGTTTTATATTCCCGCACATCCATCTTCATGACTGTTTAAAGTTCTAACTCTACATATAGGAATAAAGCAATGTTACCTTTGAAAGCTGCAAGAGTTTTTGCTACTGCAAAGTCTGATGTGTTGTCCTCTGCAGCTAAACAGTCTACAGTAAATATAGTAAGTGATCACATGCAGTAGGTTCCTGTTAATCTGCACTTCCTCTTCTGAAGATGTGAGAAAGGCACAAATATGCATTATTCTGTTCTGTGGTCCTGAGATGACTGCCTGTCGTCACCTCAGCTGTAAGTTTAGATGAGCTGCTTTGAGTCTCAAACTCTTCCTGTAGGCTTGAAATGAAAAGATGGACTCTGCTTGTCTTAAAATAATGACATGGTTTCCAACGTGAACTGCTTTACCAGCACGGCAGCAAAATCCTCTCTCTGTTACACTTGTGTGTTTCAAAATCTGTGAATCACAATTTTCTAAAAAGCTCCACAGCTGATCCCAATCACCTCCTCCACTCAGACGCTCCTGTTCTCCTGCCATTCGTCACCTGATGGTTTCGTTTACTCTCTCTGCCCAGAAAACTAGTTTGTCTTTTGTATTCTCCATTACTCTCTCACTGTATCGCTCACGTGCCTTTTTTGTCTCCTCGGCTCCTGTTCCATATTCTGCACCCCAGACTCCTCAGACCACCTCAGACCACTACTCCTCTTCAGTCAGCGAGCCAGCCTCCCACCATCGTCAGCCACGCTCCCCTTTCCTCTCCAGCCTCGTTGTGTTGCTCATTAAAATACCTTGTTGTCAACAAACTTCAGAGTGTGTGTCTGCTCCTGGGTCCTCTGAAACACAAACTTAACCGTCTGCCCATCTACACCGCTACACAGGTACGTTGTGTTTGCTAACAGGCTGGACTCAAACGCAGGACTTGTTGTACCGTAAGTCTTTGCTGCAAACCAGGTGATAATGGGAGAATGAATGTGGCGGCAGGGGAATCCAGAGGAGGCGGAGAGAGAGTGGAGGTGATGGATCTATGTGGCTCAAGGAGCAAGCGAGCCTGGCAGGAAGCATACAGGAGGCAGACGGGCATGTGATGATCCTGCAGCACCAGAGACAGATGTTAGCAGACAGGTAAAGCACAGACAAGGCACAACAAGCAAAATCCACCAGAGAGCAAACTGCTGACTGAGAGAATCACTAAGGCTGAAAACACATCTGGTGAAGAGTGGATGGAAAACTGCAGTTGATGTACTGCAGGTGAGCAAACTAATGAGAGGCAGGTGAGTGAGGTGAGCAGGACGATTGGTGGATTGTGAACAGGTGTGTGGAGCCAGCAGCCAGGAGACGTGGGGGAAGGAAAGTCACGCCGACAGACACACAGATAACAAACAGGGGAGACAAAACTCTGAACGTGGACAGACTCGACCCAGCATCAAAGTTTATTCATCTAAAGGAGGAGGGCAATAAATCTGCTGAACATTATGTGCAAGAATGTGAATCTCTCCTCTGTAGCCAAACAGTACATGCAGATGTTCTGTGGGGGTTGATGAGATGCAGGACTTCCTGGTGACAGAGTGCAAAATGAATGTAGTGAATGAAAGAACAATATGGCGCCCTCTTGAGTCACGTAGGTCTGAAGAGACACGTCGCACGTAAGGCAGGACCCTGCTTGACCTCATGTTTGCAGACTGATGAAACTTTTTCCATTGCTGTAAATCAAAATGTTTCTGTTCAGCCGAGCTTCAGGAACGTGACCTCGTCCTAATTGAGCTTCAAGAGTAACTACACCTTCAAGGGAGGGGCCATAGAACAGTGAAATCCAAGCAGACACATCCAAGCTTTTTTTAAATTTCTGTATGCATTTCTGCCTCATTATGCAAATGAGGAGGGGCTGTGTCTCAAGGGGTCATCTTCTCTGCTATTGGTGGACCAGTCAGACAGGAGAGCTCCTACTCTGCCTGCAGACATCAACGATCTTGCCCCTCACACAGTCAGATGGCTTCCTTCAGTGCGCTGAGGTGTTTAACAACTCTGAAGACACTACCAGCCATGTCTTCCTTCTCTTTTCACGTAGACGCTCCGACAGACAGTGCTTTCAGTTTGCTGCATGCATGGACACAGAACTGCGGTATAGGGAGAAGCACACGGTCAGCTGGCTGCAGCTAAATCTGGAGTGCACTCGTATTCAATTCTGTATGGTAAATTCAGTTTTAACGGAGCAGAGCGAGCTGACAGGCAGAGTTAGAGACTTTTTCTGTCCGTTTCTCTCTTTACAAAGACGCATGTTGCAGTCAGAGTCTTCTCTGAAGAGGGCAATGAAGTCTCAGTAGTACCCGATGCGAGCACCACATACAACACAATTTATCAAATTACACAACAGATATAAAGTATGAAAATAAGATTGATTGGATTATACTCACAGGAAGTATAAAACCTCTTACATGGGTCTATTAAAAGTAAAGTAACACAAAAATGTCAGGGAAATTACTTTACTTAGATTTAAGTACTGCAGTTGTACATTTGAAATACCTTCCTACCTTTCTGATAGGAAGCCTTCTTGAGGTGGTATAAAACATTTCTTCTTATATTCTGATTTGAGTTGTGGACAACTATGACCACATGAATTAAAAAAATTAAACATTTCACTGCCCAAGTCAGCTATAACACAAGTCTTGTTCATCAGACTACATGCTGTACAGTATTTGTGGACAGATTTTGTCCCAGGATTTATTATGCATTTCTTCTTCTTCGTTGCATGATTTAGAATAATAAGGTGAGAAATGGGTCTGTTCTGAGTTCATCCTGCACTGCAGCAGCTAATAAAGTCCATTTAATCCCAAAAACGCTTTTCTTTTAGGCAGGCTGGAGCAGAAAACAACTCACCTTTCTCAAGTTGTACAGTAATGTCACATGTGTATGAAGGTGGATCAAACCAGCTAATCTTAAATGTCAAAGTAGAGAGGAGCCTAGTAGGCCTATTTATTTCATTCATTACACAATATGAATAAGCTATGCAGACAGTTGTAAAGAAAGAACATCTTTTTCTTCTGTTCTCTACTTGTTATAGTTACACAGTATTAGGGGTGTGGGCTGTATTAAAAGTATCCACTGTTCTCCCATGCTCTAACACACAGTAAAGATGAAATGTGTGCTGTTCTCACATTCTTCCTCTGTATGTACACATAAACAACAAGGCAGGGAAATATAAAAGGAATTTATTTTATTGTTCAGTGTACATGGTCACATCTGAAACAAACTTTACGTGCTTGATAACTCTCCCACCCCGCAGACATCTACACGTCAATACCGATTTATATTCATAGAGGCAAGTGCTATGTAGCTCCACATAGGGGACACAGGAAGTGACATATAGCACCTTCATGCGGCGTCGGAACCGCTTAGGAAATTCACAGCCGCACCGGCAGAGCTCCAGAATATGCAACTCGGCCGGCTCACACGCGGACGCGCTACAAGTGCGAGGGCCCGCCCAACGCTGCTTGCAGCTTTAATTTTCCTTTTTAAATCTCCATGAAGGTGTTTATAAGATCATTTTAAAATATCACTTTTGTTGCCTGTGCCTTTTATTGTGGAGATAGCCGACCAAACCGCTTGCTTTGCAGCACAACAGGCTGCCAATGCAATCTGATTATTCCTGAAGCCTCTAAATAATCTTCACAACGCAAAGAATTATTCTCTCTCTCTCTCTCTCTCTATGCATCTCAAAAATACAATAACAGCTGTTAGCTGCTGAGTGAAAGATTAGTTTCACCGGCGACCTTCGGTTTATGGACTCACCGTCGGACATCGCTATAAAACAAATAGCTAGATAAAGAAAAGAAACAGGCTGATGTCCAAAGCGATGCTCTGTTCAACAACAGGACACTTTTAATATATCTCAGTCAATGCAGTGATCGTCTGACGTAGATGTTACAGTGTGAAGTCTTCATTTGCTCTGCGGAAACTTAAGACGCTTTTAAGAAGTTTTTCACTTGCCGGCTTGTTAAAGTGTGACGCAGGCTGCTTTCCAGCAGGTCACCAGTGCCGTGGTGTGTGCTCACTGGATTTCATTTGTATTAGTAGAACAATAAAGCCTTAAACTGAGAAGGTGTTTGCCTGATTTTCTAAAAGTTTGCATCTGCTCTGTGACTGTGACAAGCGCCCGACCAGCGCTTTACTGCTGAACTGCGCGCACAGCCTGGATCACAGCTCATTTTGGTTAAAGAAGCAAAATGCAGATTACGGACTGGAGAAGTTATAAAAGGTCTGAATGGAGAATGTAGCGAAGTTAAGAGTAGGTCTACATTAGATGTACCCACCCCTGCTGCAGACATCATCACTGCTGCCTTCAGAAGTAACAGCAGCACAAAAGAAGAAGCTGCACCGGCCTCGAGTAACTTTTTATTTCTCCCTCAACATTTCTATACATTTTGCCCGAGACTGATGTGGACTGTGTGATTGATTGTTCTCTTAATAAACCGCCTCCTCTATATGCCAGCTCCGAAATCGCCTGAGCCAGGAAGGGGTGGGACCAAACATAGATTTTGAAATGAAATATGTCTAATGCCTCCTCTGCCTATCAGGTGATCAACCTCACTACAAATCCACACAAGTTAATTTCAGCGCCTCTGATAAAGTGCAGCTCACAGCTTCAGGTGGAGCAGAGAGGACAGACACAGAGCTACAGCTGGATCATCTTATTGTCTGCTACTGTGCAGGAGAATAAATAATAACAACAATCTCTCTCGCTCTCTCATTCGCTCCCGCGCAGGTAACGTTAGTTAAGCCAGTAAAGTTAAATTTTCGGCCTTTTGTTGTTTGATTTTTAAAAATCCTTCTGAGACATTCATGGAGGATGAATCGTACTAACACTCGTGATCCCCCGACTTTTCATTTAGCGCCATCATCAGGTCATAAATGTTCATTCGTCCAATGATTTAATTATAATAATGATACTACATTTTATTTCTATAACGCTTTTAAAGGTACTCAAATTCCCTTTACATGACAAAACAAAGACACCAAGATCAAGATATAAACCACAATAGAGAAACTAGAGATAACAAACAACTAGATAACGAAGCAAAACAGCATAAAAACAGGATGGAAACAAGACAGAAAACAGGTTAGGCTAGTCGATTACAGATTTAAAGCAGGTTTAAACAGGGCCCCGATTCAGAAAGTGGGTTTAGTGAAAACTCTGAGTATGTTCAGCCTGAGATGAGGGAAACTCTGGGTTTTCAGTTTCACAGACCGAGATCAGATAAACTCTAAACTTACGCTGCGAACCTG